TATGATGCGTGCTGTGTGCTTTGATGTGTGCTGTGTGCTATGTGTGCTGTGTGCTATGTGCTATGTGTGCTGTGTGCTGTGTGCTATGATGTGTGCTGTGTGCTATGATGTGTGCTATGATGTGTGCTGTGTGTTGTGATGTGTGCTATGTGTGCTGTGATGTGTGCTGTAAGCTTTGATGTGTGCTGTATGCTTTGATGTGTGCTGTATGCTTTGATGTGTACTGTGTGCTACAATGTATGCTATGATGTGTGCTTTGATGTGTGCTTTGATGTGTGCTTTGATGTGTGCTACAATATATGCTGTGCTGTGTGCTGTGCTGTGTGCTGTGTGCTGTGTGCTGTGTGCTGTGCTGTGTGCTGTGCTGTGTGCTGTGCTGTGTGCTATGATGTGTGCTATGATGTGTGCAGTGTGCTATGATGTGTGCAGTGTGCTATGATGTGTGCTACAATGTATGCTACAAGTTACGATGTATGCTATGGTGTACGCTATTATGTGTGATCTTACACTGAGTATATATATATAATCTATTAGATTCAATATAAACTTACTGCTCAATCAGTTTTGTGTCATCTAAAGAGTGACAAGTCATTTGTCCTCTGACGTAAGCATCAGCATCACTGAGAAATGCTGAAAGAGTATGTAGTATGCTTGAAGCTTGCATCACAATATCCTCACAATATTCAATATCTAGGAAAATAAGAAAAAAACATCTGTAGACAAAAAATAATAGGAACACACAATAGCATGTTGAGTTGCAATTAGTTAATTGGTGTCAATCAGGGTCAAAGCCAAATCATGACCTTGTAGGATTATCCCAAAATAAGTACTATAGCCTCAATATTTGAATGAATTAATATCTGCCAAAAGAAATCGTCCGCCAACATGGTGTTGTTCCGCTTGGATGTTCCTCCCTCCTCAAGTGATAATGGAGTGCTTTGCGAACATTCACCTTAAAAATTCAAGATGATGACCACTTCATTTGAGTCTGTGATACAACCAGGTGGCACATTCAGACATTTCAATATGAGCACATGCTGACTTTATAATCAAACGCAGGTTGGATATGAACTTGCAATCAAATGAAGGCTTCAAGCAACAATCAAAATGTGCCTCATATGAAATTTAAGCACCATAATCGTCGGGTTTGATGTGGGTCGCATGTTCATGTCCACAACACATACATGTACATTCTTTGTTTACATTAATTTCAAACATGTGCAATTTACAATACTGTATTTACTCTAGTAGAACACACACTTATGTAAATGACACAAATATGGTCAAAATAAGTCATCCATAGCCAGCATAGAATAAATATCTATTGGAGATATGCCCCCAAATTACTTACTGTGACTGTACTTCGTAAGTAGACAAATCATTCTAAACTGATTTGCAGTATGTTTTTGTAAATAATCCTGTACAGTTATTGTATTACCAATAGACTTGGACATCTTCTCAGCATCATCCTTCAAATGTAGAATTCCTAGAAAATATATTACTCAAATAGAAGATAATGTCTATACATAGTAGGTCGTAGTATGCTATTCTATTTCATTCCTTTCCATTCCATTCTATTCCTGTTTATTCTATTCTATTCTAGTTCTGTCTACTGTAGAATACTTTATTTTCGCTTGGAATTTATTTTCGCTATTTTCGCTGAAGGGATGATTCCGTGAAAATAAAATCCAGCGAATATAC